TCTCCTCACAGATTGGGGCTACTTTATAGCAGCTAAGAGATCATTCTGGTGGAGATCATGACTTATCCTCAAGTGAAGGAGGAGGTTGGGGAGCTCTTCATGAAACGTGGTCAAAGCTTGGACCGTTTCCTTCGGTGGTGCAAATAAGCTTCTCATGCTCTCCTCTTGATGACGTGCTAAGCAAAAAGTCTAACCGGTCTTGGACTGTCTTGGGCTTGGTAGATTCAAAATGAGGTTGGGCTCCTCAACTGGAGTTGGACTTTAACACATAAATTGGACTATTTGGGCTTAACCCATCAGAAGCTACTGTGTTTGATTGTTGGGAACTCGTAGCCAAAAAAGTAATGACCAGATTAAGAAGGGCGTCTTATCTTATAAGTATAACAATGGCAAGTGCCTCCCCTGAAAGATTATAACTGGAAAACATCACGTGTTGGTTAGTTCTTCACCTTTTTCGGCAGGAAATTCATCACTGAATAATTATTGAGATAAGTTGTCCTATATGTAATGGTCACTCATCTGTTCCTCTTAATCTTTAGTCAACTTAAATATTACCATTTTATAAGTCTCTATTAGTTTGATCAATAGACTGCTTAGGGAATCTTTATGAAACAATGGATAGCTAGGATATTGTAAGTAGGTAGCCCACTTTATGATGCAAATGTCAAATTATCGATTTGAATGTTCAAAGGTACTTATCAGCGGCGAAGATTTTTAGTAAGAGTTTTCTTTCTCAATGGATGTGAATTCAAAATGTAGCCAAGATACAAATTATAGCATGCAGAACATGGCAAAATTCTATAAATGCAATTTGGGAGTCCTTTATATCCAGTTTTTTGTTGGAATTGAGCATTTGTTCGTTGGAAAGGGATGAGTTGTGCCATTTTTGAACTTGTAATGTTGTTCATCTTCCTTTAGGATTTAGTATTATTGGAAAAATCCAATAAATTGTGTCTATATGAACATGTGTATATGTGCACTAGTATGGCTATTGATGCATACAACATGCCTATTCATGTGTCTTCGTAGTTGAGCAGCTAACAGTAGCAGAGTAAGAAAAAGAAATGTCCCTTTCCTTGTTGGATATGATATAATGCCCAAGATATTACAATCTATGGATTGTTTGAAGCCATTGGGGTCTTCTTCATTGCTCAATGACGGCCTGTGGCCTATGAAAAGAGGGACACATTTGTAAAGGGATTCGCTTCATGGTAAATGTTGTGGAGTCTAGAAAAATCTATTTAGTTCTGGTGTTGTTTTACTATGGATCGGTAACCAGACAGTGATCACCCTTATGCTTTATCTGAAGGCTAAACCTTTGTAAAAATGTTTATACTTCTTTTTCAAGGTGGGTTTGGCTGGTCAATGCTTTATCATGTAAGAATCAAGGAAGTTAATTGAGTGGTTTTGATATGATTATAGCATTGCATCACATTGAATACCTTTTTTTTTTAGATGCCTTATATTGGCTCAAGTGTTTCACTTTTGATGCAATGACAGAAAAATTAGTAGAAGAAACCCCGTCATGGCAGCAAGGAATGCTGTGAGATATGTCTCTCGGAGGTTCTCGAGCGGTGGCAAAGTACTTGGTGAGGA